GTTTTTTTTTGCTTTTATTTTTAAATAATATTTCATTTTTAAATAATTTTTTTTTTTTTAATCAGGAAAATATAATCCATTAAAAATAAAGTTTACAAAAGTCTGTGAAAGGAATAACACTGTTTTTACTTTGAGCATTCATGAATTTTGCAACTCGAATCCACAGAAACTCACAACAAACCCAGAGGGATGGTACCTCTAGAGTCCTCCTGGAGACAGGATTTTCTGCTTTTGACTTTTTGTAAATAGGAAGTTAAAACTCTGAAGAAAGGTGAGACACTCTTATTTCTCTATTCTAAGACTCTGAAATTCTGAACCCTCTAAATGAGTTCAACATGTTTAATTTTAAGAAGTCACTTGCACCTTATCATTTTACTTGTAATAGTGATGCTTTTATCCCAGTAACTTAGTAATGAGCTGAACTGTCCCTGCAGATATACCAACACAAGTCTCCTTATAAGGAAGAAATAATTCATTCCCAGCGTCTATTCTCAATGAATGTAAACTGAATGTGCTCATTCCTTGAGGAAATACAGAGCAGCATTAATTCATACAGCTCTGGGACTGTGGCACACACAATACCCTCCCCTTCAGTCCGTGTCAGAATGACTTCATATGTCAAGTTATCAAGCCACAATAAGGCAGAGGACACAGAAATGAGTGTCAAGAGGATTTAGCTCAAATTAAGATGTTTATCTCTTTTCATTACTCTAGAATACTGGTAAAGCACGCTTAGTATTTTAAGTACATTTTTCTGAATGCTTTTAGATTCTACCCGCTGACTCCAGTTTTGGAATCATCATGGAATTTAATTAGAATAAAAAGCTGCACTTTGAAAGGGCTCATTCAGTGCTGCTTTTTTTTTTTTTCACTTTAACTGAGAGACTCTGAAGAGCTGGCAATCTTTATCCTAGAGTATTTAATTTGAAAGGTACTAAAACACAAATGTTTTTTAACTCCTTAAATTAAAAGTAGTTTCTGAACATAATGATCAAACTATTTTAAGAAAACACTATAAAACTGAAGGTATTGGCCAACTGCACTATTTTTTTCACTGACCAATCTTAAGATGGTAACTTCATGGACACTCATCACCTACTGTCCGTTTTTCCTGTGTTTGAATTTCCACAGTCACTACACTGCAAAGCGCACTCATATTCGCTACCTTTACCTAAACCAGTGTTTTCACGCTTTCAAATGATATATGTTAGAGTACATTTGATATTGTAAGCCTATAACTTTTTTTGTGGGAACTGAAGTGCCTATTTATCTAAAAATGCTTTAAGAAGCAGGATGAAAAAGACTTGGTTTTGCATTGTAAACACAGCTGTTTCAGGAGACCTGTCAGTCTTTCTTGTATCTGATTGTTGTGGTGCTGTCACCACAAGTAATTTTTCTTGCTCTTTTTTTCCTTAAAGCTCTAGCTCTGAGAGCCTTCTCATCTCCCTTGCTAAGCTTCCATCTCTGACCCCCTACCTCCCAGCATTTAGAAATATTTTATGCAGCACAATAATCTAGATTCTTGTTCAGCTTTAGTGCAGGAATGCTGAGTTTCATCCCCACAGCTAAGTTTTAGCCACCAGGGTAACGTGTCTTGGCCAGGATTAGGTGGTCTGCCACCCGTTTTTCTACATTTAGACCGTCATTTACTTCATAGAAAAGCATCTGTGCAGCTGTATGTGATCTTTCGTTTAAACTAGCACAACTGCTGGAATGTTCAAGCCCTGCGTGTTTTATTGGAATGAGCAAAAATGACTGAAAGTGGCCTAATGCTTTGAATGATTATTAAGAAGGAATTTCACTGAGTGGTGGCCAAGGGTACTTTTCCGAGCAGTTCACAGAATAACCTTTGATTACATGCAGGAAGTTCACCAAGTTAAGGTTTCTGTTTTGTAGCCATTCTCTCCTCTCTGCATAGCTCTGGAATACAGACCTCACAAAACTGTGAGGCAGAAAAAGAGGAAACGAGTGCTCAGCTCAGCAAGGTCTTTCCATGAGAAGAGCATCCACTGAAAGAAAAAGAAACCAGAAATTAAAATAGAGTTCAGGTATGGCTTTAACACATTTTAACTTCTTCCACGAAGTTAACACACATTCCCACTTGCATTCAAAAAGTTGAAGGAACTCAAGAGGCAAAACTGGCAGGACAAAGGAACTTCAGCCTCAGATGATAATTTGCAAGCTGTTGTGGTACTGTACCAGTGCAGAGGGAGCGGAGGCAGAAGCATACTTGGTGCTTATGGCGAAATGTCAAAAGCAAAGATGCCATTACCTCTCCATCTGCTCCCTAGCCCAGAAACAAAAAAGCTTCACCAGCATCCTGTATAGCTATTAATATTCATGGACTTAATGGGAAGTAGCTTATTCCTGCTGGGTGGTAGACAGATGAAAGAGGTGCATCTATGGGCTTTTCCACCTGCTTTTCTCAGAGGTACCTTAAGTGAATTCATTAATTTCTGCTCAGAGCTGAAAAGACAGAAGAGCGACCAAGTTGAGATAACTGACGCATGGGCAGCTTCTGCTTATTATGGATGCTTGGTTGTTCACTCTTTGTGTTTCTCAATTTTTACTGTAACGGGAAGAATGGCATTAGCGTGTTATTTTTATTGCAGCAGGTGGCTAAGACCTGGTAAAGAACAGCCAATACCCAGTTTAGAAGAGTATTTTTACTGACTTGCTAGATACTTGTTTAAAACCAAAATAGTGCTAGAACAACAGAGAATAAAAACTGCGTTGAGATGTGAACAATTATTAGCAATTAATGGGGCAAACAACAAGCAATGAGGAAAAATATAAATTTCTTCTGCCCTCATACGCATGCAATCCTGAAGTTGTTCTTTTTGTACCTTCTACATACTCCATTTCTCTGCTTTCAGAAATACTGAAATCAATACCATAGGTATAGTAAAAGTAAGTTCCACATCCTCATCTCTGCCCTGCAGCATCCAGGCTCCCTAATCCCTTCAAAATTTAGTTGTAGTTAAGTTCATAAATCCAATAGATCACTTGTAAAGTACATGCCTAAAAAGAGGAAGAAGCCAGTTAATATCCCAGCAAGGTATCTGTGGACTCATGAAACTGGCACCTCAAGAGTAACTGTTTTGTGTCATCTACACTTAGAAACACAAGCATCACTGTAAACTCATTTCTTACCCAGAAGGTAGCTCTCATGATCCCAAAGAAAGAACAACTTGTAGTGCATATATATAAAGAGCCCCATAGTTCAGGCCTTGTAGTCTGCAGTTCAAACTGTGGTTAAAAAAACATCAGTCATTTTCTTACTACAAGCAACTGAAAATATATCAGACCAGAAAAAAAAAAAAAAAAATCTATACCTAAAAAAACAAACCCCTATCTGTGAAATTTCTAATCACTGCTACAGTCTGAGACTTCACAAGCATATAAAAAGGCCAATATTTGCGTATTCTAGACCATCTTCATGCTTCTACTGAAAACAGAAAATGCAATTTCTTCAAGGCTCCTTATTCCCGTGTTCAGAGAATAAGTGATTGTTCTAGTCTGGGGATTTGCTGGAAACAAAAAGTAGATGTCAAATTTCAAGTCAGCTCGATGTTATTTGTACTTCCTAGATCTTACGGCTGACACACTTGACATTCTTTGGCTGCATTCCCTGATGGAGCCAGCTCCCCACCACAAACTTCCCAGCTGGAGACTAGCGTTACATCATGGAAAATGTAGTGTAGCTGGGTGAACTAGACTATGTGAATGAAGCCACTGGGCACTCAAGTTACAGCTCCTGCACCATGTACTAGCGAGGGCTGTTCGCTGTTAAATCCCAGCCAGAGGAGTAAATATTGTTTTCAACTGTGAGTTGGCAAAAACGCCGTTTCCAAGCTAAGGTACCATTTATTAAATATTTATTTAATCAAGAATGCTGATTGCTCTAAAATGATACATCAATGTCTCTCTCCATAGGAAAGGCATTACTGAATTTATTTGCCTGGCCTTATCCTTATTGTATAGTATTTTCATAAAATGTTACATTAGCAGTGTGGCTGCAATTAGGACTGGAACTCCCTGCCACAAGCAAGGGCTGCATGTGGTATTTACTCAGTGCTGCGCAGGACATATGTAAATTCGAGAGATCTATGTATCTATTAATATAGATAGATACACATCTATATAACCATATATCAATCCATATAGATAGGCATATAGATACGTATCTATATCTATCGATATCGAGATATATATGGATATATATATGTATATGGATATATAGGGGCATATATATGTATAGATATACAGATGCGTGTGTATGTCCGGCATCCTCAGCCTGTCACCGTGTCCGGTTTTCTCACTCCTCACTTTCAGGAAGGCCACTTCGTTTGAGTCGTTTTGTGCGATCCCGAATGAATGGCATGTCTTCTGGCGACCGCAGGCACCCACTTCAGACTCCTTCCGACCGCACGTCCTGCTGCCGCCGCACCGCTCGCTGAGAGTCACCCCTCGCCGGCCGCCTCACGGAGCTCCCCCGCCGCTGCAGTGACTCACCAGGGGCCGCCGGGGACTGGCACACGGCACCCGCCGGCACCGCACGCGCCGGGGACCCCGCGGCCGGTGCCGTGTTCCCTCTAATAGCGGGGAAATGCCGAAACAAAAAGGTGGGGGCGCAGCCCGCTGAGGCACCGCACGGGCTCGTTGCGGGCACGCGCGGGGGCTCACACCGCGGCTACCGCCCCAGAGGCGGGCTGGTACGGCAGGAGCAGAGGCATTTCCAGCACACGTGTTCCCTACTACCTGCCCCTCCGCCACTCTCCCGCGTCAGGTCTTAGCAGCCCGCGGAGCCGCGGGGGAAGGTTGGCGCCGCTCTGCCTCATTCCCCTGTCCCCACTCCCCGGGCAGGCAGCCGGAGCTGTGCCGGCCCCCGCCTGTCCACACCCGAGAGCGCCAGCGCTCAGCCCGTACCGTATTTTCCCGCGGCACGGCGCAGCTGTACCCGCCCGCCGGCTTTCCCCGCAGAGGTGACCGGTTGAGGCCGCGGCGGCCCCTCCCCCGCATTCCATTCCCTATATGGCGGTAGAGAGGGGCGCCGCCAGCCACGCCCCCTTTTCCCACCACGCGAGCGAGGCGCGCCCGGGCTTGCGCGCGTGACATCAGCTCGGGGCGGGCGGGGGTAACCGCGGCGCACCGCCCGCCGGCGCGCGGGGCCAGCCTCGCTCGGGCCGTTCTATTTACGTTCGTGCCTCTGCTTTGCATAAGCCCCGCCCCGAGCCGTCGGGAGGTGTCCGGCACCGCCCCCGGCACCATATAAGGTCAGAAGGGGGGCGTGTCCCGGAGGGGCTCGCGGCTGTCCGCTGCCTTCCTGGAGCCGTTTATAGGGTACAGCCACTTCCGCTGTCTGCTTAGAAGCGGCGCGATCATGGCGGAGCGTGGTCAGCTCCCTCCCCCCGCCAAGCGCCTCTGCTGCAGACCCGGCTATGGCTCGGCGTGCAGGCCGGGACAGCGGGCGGGCGGCGCCGGACCCGGCAGCGGGGCGCTCTGTGCCGGACCTTCCTCTGCAGCTGCCGCCGCCGCCCTGGGGCTGCTGCCGCTCGGCAAGACCCAGAGCCCAGAGTCCCTGTTGGACATCGCGGCTCGGAAGGTGGCGGAGAAGTGGCCGTTCCAGCGGGTGGAGGAGCGGTTCGAGCGGATTCCGGAGCCGGTGCAGCGCAGGATCGTCTACTGGTCCTTCCCCCGCAGTGAGAGGGAGATCTGCATGTACTCCTCCTTCAACACCGGCGCAGATGACCCCGCCGCCGTCGTCGGGGGGGTCGCCACCGCGCCCGGCGGGGCCGCGGACCCCGCTGCTGCCGCCGACGAGAACCGCCTGCCCTTCCGCAGGGGCATCGCTCTGCTTGACGGCGGCTGCGTCGATAACGTCCTGCAAGTCGGTGAGTCACCGGCCGGGGCCGCGCTCCGGAGCCGGGCCGCCGCCTCCCGGGCAGGGCTCCTCCAGCGTCCCCCGCCGAGGGTTTCCCGCTGCGTGTCACCCGTCTGCCGTCCGGGGAGACGCCTCCCGCCTGCCTGCCTTACACGGTCCCGGCTGCCGGAACCTTTCCTCTGCCCCGGCAGACTCTGGCGGAGGGTCCGGCAGCGCGGGCGGGGAGCTGCCCCCTGCTGCCGGCCCGTACTGGCCGTTCGCTCTTTGGCTGTAATGCGGGCCGGCCACCTTCCTCCGCACCGTGCTGTGGGGAGGGGGGAGAGTTCTCCTTCACCTCGCATCCAGGACACCGAGTAACTCCCTCCCTCTGTGACACGGCCGCGGCCCCCGAGCGGGCAGCCCCCCTCCTGTCCCTTTAACTCGCCCCCCCACCCCATCAGAGCGCCGTGTCCGCTCCCCGTAATCCAGCCCGTGTAATCTCGTTTGGCTCTGCCCTCTTCCAGCGCCCACCCCCGGTAATCCGGGTCATCTCTTTACCTCGAGCCACAATAGCGAGGAGATGCCACCCCCCCTCATCCCGGGGGGGACCGCTGGTGGAAATGAATCAGCAGAAGGGCGGCCGGCGGGGGGGCGGGATGCGCCACCGTCCAAAATAAAGACATAAAAGCGGAGTGAGACCCCAGCAGCGGGTGTGCGGGGGGGTATCCGCGAACAAAGGCATTTCTAGGGCAGCCGCGGCGGCGGCGGCGAGCCAGAGGGAGGGAGCGCGATCCACCCCGCCTGGGGGTCTGTGGCGGGGGGAGTTGCTTTGGGCTGACTGCTTCTTGACCGGGGGGGGGGGGAAGCGCCGCTCTTCCTCCTCCTGGAACAATATCCTTCCCTTCTTTTCCTCCCCCCCCCCCCCCAAGCCCCACCGCCTGCCGCTGCTCTTCACCCGCTGCGGGCGCCCCGGGTTAACTCCTCCCTGCCTGTGTTTAAAAGGCTGCAGCGGTGGGTGCCCTCCACTTTTGGGGGCCTGTCTGCCGGGCGAGTCCCCTCAGTTCCCATCCGGGAGCCACCCCCGGCCCACAGCTCCCCCCCCGCGGGTGGGTGATGCTCTTTGTGCTACCCGGGCACTTTGTTCTCATTTTCATGTTTATTTGTGTCCCTTCCCCCCCCCCCCCCCCGATTTCTGTCGCTTCCCCTCCTCCTCCCCCGAAAAGGGGAAGCCAGACAAAAGAGGCTTGCTGATCGCCTTTTGTTGGCGGCGGCGGCACGGTGTGTGTGTGTGTTTATGGGGGACGTCGGGATCCCCCGCTCTGTTTTCCCCAAACCCTCTGTCCTGCCCGCTGCGGGTTGTACTTGTCGGGCAGCTCGCAAACGTGCCATCAGTTTTTCCCGAAGGGGAGCCGTGTCCCTGCTCCCAGGCTCCGTGCCCTTCCCTTCTGCCTACGGGGACTTTTTTTTTTTTTTTTTAATCTAATTAACTTTCTTAAGTTTCATCTTTTGGATTTCTCTTTCCAAAGGTCTGAGGCGCATCTCTGGTTCCTCAGGTCTGGCAAAACCAGAAGTAGGGCTTTTTTAGTTGGGCTGGCAGTGCTGAGATTTTTATTTTTTTTTTTTTTTCCTTTGCCTTTAGCTTGCACTTGGTTCTGTTTGCAAGCGATGAGGAATGACAGGAGTGCACATAGGGAGGGTTTCTTGGCTGATTGCATTTAAGCCAGGAATTCACTGTGAAAATAAAGCCAAGGGGCGATAAATAAAAGATGCAATCTTCTCTAGGAGACAGACACCCAGCGTGGGCTTTGCCTTGCTTGCTTTCAGTGGTGGAATAGGCCTCTGTGAGTAGTTGTGAAAGGAAAAAAGTAACTTTTTGTATGGCTTCAAAAGAGGGGGTGGGCACTCTGAAATGTTGGCAAGGGTCAATGTGAAGGAAGAAAATATGCATAAATACAACTAAAGTGTTGACTGCTGCTCCGAGGGAGGCATGGAGCACTTGAGAGGCTGGATCCTGCTGTAGGAAAGTTCTTGTGTAATTTGGGAAGGTAGCTGTATCATTAGGGCCCTCTCTTGCTGGCAGTGTACTCCTTGTGCAGCAGAGAGGTGCAACTGTTAAAGCCAGTTCACCTGCCGTGAATTATATTGAAGAGAGAGTGGAATTGGTTCCATATAATATGTCTGAATATGTAGCATTGAGGAAAATGTAATGTTGAGTTTATGTAAGTGCATGTTTAAAGACCATATAAATGTGAACTCATGTGCTTTGCAGTATGAGTAATGGAAACTCTGTAAATGTTTACTATTGTACTATGGAAAAGTGCAGTTATTGGACAAAGTACATTTTATTACATATCAGTTCTAACAGCTTTACTTGTAACTCTTAAGTATTAACTATGAAGAGGGAATACAGGATTTGATTTCTGAGGGAAAAGCACAAATTTCAGTTCAGTGGTTGTTAAATGGAACCATTCTGAATTTTTCTTTTTTTCCAGCCTATCCCTAAATAAGCATTCAAGCAATTATGTCATGTCCACTTATTGCAAGCGGGAAAACTTCAAAACCTTGTGTCCACAGCCTAAAAAAAATCTTCATGTGATACTGCCCCCCCCTCCAACTTCATCTCATGTGTGTGCTGAAAAGAAAATCTTACATTAAAGGAAGATGACACATTAGTGATATAAACAATGTTCTTAGTAATCAAGTAGTAAAGTTGTCTACTAGCCTATTTGGAAGTTGAATGATATTGTCCTAGCATAATAATTAGCATCACTTAATTTTGAAATATTATTTTCTCCAAAGAATTTGGCTTCAGATTTTCATTTGCATCTAATTTATTGATGTTTTTATAGTTTTTGATATATTGCAATTAGATATGAAGTACTTTCTTTTTTAGTTAATTGAAAAAAAAACAAACCAAAACCAAACATAATTCAGTCTCCTAAAGCAGCCCTTTTCAATGGCATAAACCAGAGCTTTTATACCATACATGTTTTTCATTTATTTCAAACCAAGTATTTTTAGTAAAAATTACAGTCTAAACATGAAAGCACTTTGTGAGTAAATACAACAATCTGGGAGGAAAACTAGAAATTGGCTGTGTTTCATTTGGCCAAATTTGTGAAGATGCCAGGAAATAGCAGACGCTTTTAGATGGTGAAGTGTATATTTGGTTTCTGAGGTTAGTCCTGAATTAGTATACAGTACTGTATTGTCGTCACAGCTGTGGCTGTCAAGGTTAGGAAGAGGTGTGATCCCTCAGTAGCACATTTGACCTGGCGGGAGCCCTTAATGCAGCTATTCTAGGAGAAGAAAAAAGCCCTGTGCCTCTGCTGGTGTGACCCTTCTTACTTGGGGGAAGACAGAGACTACCTTTGCTGTATGTAGTGCTGTAAAGCTCAGCTTTACTGATGTAGCTGCATCCACATCAGAAGTACTTGAAGTGTTTTTAATATGTCACAGAAGTACTCCTATAGTATCCTTGTCTGTCCGTAATTTGAGGTTGGGTATTCTTTGCTTCCTAGACCCTGCTTGCTCACACGGGTCTTCCTTTAAAGCATTACAGTCCTTTCCATGGCAGCATGAGGCTTTATAATCATGGTAGTCATGCCTCTTAGGTATGAATGGCAAGGCAGTGAGTTGGAGGGAAGAGATTCCTAGGGAAGGAAAACAGTGTAGAGGATAGGCTGGCACTTAGCACAGCTCTAGAATGTAATATTGATATTGTGATCTAGAAACCTGCCTTGTCTGTGGGAGATGGTTCAGTTAAACAGCATCATCGGCATGCAGCTGCAGATCTGTTTTTCTAAAGCTCCTAAGTGATAGGTGGTTGGGGGATGTAACCAGAGTACTTTTTAGAGAAAAAGTGTAGTTTCTCAAGTGTAGCATAATGCTTGGAGCTCCCTGGACATGACTTGATTTGTAAATGAAGTTAAAGACTTGTGATTTCTTTTTTTTGTTTTCTGATTTTCTTTTAAAGAGAAGTATTTACCTTCTGACTCAGAGATTCTTTTATCATCTAGTTTTACAGCTGATTATCCCCCCACTTTTCCTTTCTTTGCCTTAAATAAGAGCTGAAAGTTGGTGATTACTTTCAAAACCAGCAGAAGCCATATTTTCATGAGGAAGAACAGAAAGCTTTGCAAGACCATGTTGGTAATTGCTGCATGTAATTCTGGTGGAATGTGATTGTAGTCAGTGAATTTCAGATACTTTTAATTAATGATGATTCCAGTTAATAATTTTTGTTCTTTTTAGTCCTCTTTACTCAAAAGAATATGAAATAGGAGAGCAAGCAAAAGAAATGTAATTTATCTTCGTTCAGGGTTAAGTTGGGTTAAGTTGTTTGAGTGCCAACAGTATGTGAAACACCTTTCTGTTGATAAAACCACGCCAAGTATTTTATTAGCAAAGTTGGCACAAATGCTTGTATGCCATGAGTTGAAATGCACCTTTTAGCAGACATGATGATCTTTGCTGATCCATGCAGTATGTTTCTATTGTTGACAACACCTGTAGGACACATGCATATAGTTACAAAAATAATAACGCAAGTAAAGTGGTGTGGCAAAATGAAGTCTCCCTAGTTGTAGGCACTGTGTTTTCCATTAACTTCTTGGTGTCCTGTGATACCAAATTGTTCTGGTACATGTAGTGATCTCTTTTCAAGGGTGAAAGGTTGTATTAAACTCTGCCTAAGGAGAGGTTGATCTGGTGACATGCTGAAGGAACAAGCATGGTTTCTTCCACAGTCAGCCTGATGTTGGGGTTTGGTTAGGAATGTATGACTAAAGCAAGAAATCCAGAATTTGTTAATACAATATTATGCTAGGGGGGTAAACAAATGATGTCTGACTTTTTGATGGACTTATTTTGACTTAGTTCCAAGACTAGTAGAGTCTTGCAAAAACATCTTCATTGATTCCAGTTTCAGCTCGCTTTAAGAAATAACTACCAATGAATGTTTCCAAGTTCTGGAACAGAAAAAAGTAAACTAATTTTGAAATATTTCTTCCTGAAAGGGAGACATCTGAATGTGTTCTAGTTTCCTTGTTAGATTTGGAATGCAATGCATTAATTATGGGAATGCTCAAGCTATTTTCAGTTTGTGTGCTCTGATGTACTATCTTTGACCTTGAATCATTTCTCTGGAACCCCTGAAAAAAGGGGGAGGGAAAAAAAGATTGCTTTCAAGACTAGATTACTAAATGTGGAAGACTGTAAACTGGTTCCTGCCTTTTTCAGTCTTTCTAAAAATACCTAATCTGGATTTGCAGAGAAAGTAAACATTTTAGAGTGATTTCAAGGTAGAAAAATAAAACCTTATGCTGCCTTTAAGAGTAGGATAATTGTAATAGGACAGTGTCAGTACTGCTCTAGAATTTTAGGCTTTAAGGAGAAAATGAATTGTGAATCACTTCCCATCACAGTTTTTAGAACTATTCTATGGAATAGTTTTATATTGTGTTTACATAACAAATTTTTTCATTGTTTAAGGTCAGTGCTCGTATTTCATTCCACACCCCCCCCCCCCCCCCAAGTTCAAGGCTTTACTCACTTCCAAGAAAACAATTTTCATTCTCCAAACTTGCTTTCTTGTTAGAAAGCAATGCCATCTCTGTAGATAATCAGATGTTTTGGTATGTAGCAGTTCTTGAATTTGAGCCAGTTGTCATGCCAGCAGCTGACACCTGTGTGTGTGCACTCTATCCCTGTACTCTAACTTTCAGAGATGAACAATTAACTAAAAGCAAAATCTGTGCATGAAAGTAGGCTGGAACTATTTAAAATTCATCATTAGACAAACTAGTTTCCTCTGTTTTGCTGTGTCATTTGTTTGTGGGTTTTTTTGGTTTTTTTTTTTTTGGTTAAGAGACTTGTTAAAATTGAATCCTTAGTTAAGACTCTGCTAAAGTTTTAATTTAAAAAATATAACCTGCTTTGAGTGGATAGTGTATTATTAGTACAGCAGTTTTTACTGGTGAAGGGTAAAGTATATCTAAGATATGTCTGCACGGGTTCAATTTTAATGTCGCATCCTGTCTGGGTAATCTAGTTATGTCAAGATTAAATTGTGAAGCTTTGTAGTAGTGTACCAAAATGGGAGCAAAATTAATGGTAGTATAGGAACGCAGCTGACGTCCCTTTACTTTCTTTCTCTTTAGCTGTTGTTTTTCTTTGGGGATTAGGTTTAATATTTACTGCATTTTTCCTTTTCTTGTTTTTTTTTTTTTTAAGGCAAAGCCACAAACAAAAAAAAAAAGGAAAAAAGGGACCGCACTATTTTAACTGACAAAAGCCATCCTAATTTATGACTATGCTATGTGTGACAGCAGCTAATTTGAAATTTTAAAAAGCTTTCATGTGCAGCAAGGGTATAGATTTAATGTGAATTCTGATTGCTTGGAATGCCATCAGCCTGACAGCACGTGAATACTTGAGTACTGTCCAACAACTGCACTTGTTGTTCTGGGAGATCTGTCCCCTTGAACTTCCAGGTTTTCCTCTCAGTTTGCTATTTAAGACTACCTGTGTAAAATGCTTCCCTCAGCTGGATACATTTGCAGCCCTTGACTTGGCTTCGTAACCTTCTGTGACCTGGATCACTAGGGATGTTGGCTGGTACTGTACGCTGGTTTGCATTCTCCTTCGAGCTACATGCCAATTACTATGATTTATGAGATGCCCTTGTGGTGCGTTACCCTGCTGTCCTCCAGTGAAGCAGCAATACGCATCCAGTCTTTGTTGCCTTGGCTCTCCTACTGAAGACCTGGAAATCTAGAAAACTTGTGATGTAAGATCCTATCTTAAAATATTTTTTTTTTTCCTGATTTAATTCTGCAAACAGACCAGAGGAGTGTAGCCTTCTAATAGTAACTACAGTGTAGGGAATTCCTTTAGTGGTTAACTTAGAATGGATAAAAGGCCTGCTGTGGGAGCTGAGTGGCTGTACAAAAGACTTTCTGGTTTGACA